GGTACAGGTAATTGTCAAATATTTTGATTCAATGCCTGTGGGTGTGCATGGTACAGGAAATCAGCCTATGGGTACAGGTAATGGGTCCAGGTTGTTTAATCTTTTGATTCAATGGCTGCAGATGCGGGATGGTACAGGAAATTGGCGGGTAACAAGCTGAAATTGTCAAACCTTTTGATTCAATGTCTACAGGTGCGGGGATTGTACCAGAAATCGATATTGGCCTACAGGCACGGTTAACAAGCTGAAGTTGTCAAACCTTTCAATTCAATGCCTACGGGTGTGGGATGGTACAGACATCGGCCTACGGGTACTGGTTGACCAGATCTGCCTTACGGGTACATATAAATAGTATATTCTTGGGCCGTAACTGGCAAGGACACAAAATCTATTTAACACAGGCCATAGGGTGGACTGCAGCTCTTCTGTAGATATCGGAACCAACGGAACCAGGTCAGTACCAAAACATCCCCCAAATTTACAAGATATCATGAATCAATATCCCAGACAATCTTCAAGGAATCTGATTTCTTATTATTGTAGTGGAGCACAGGTGAACCTTTTAGTTGCGGAGCAACGGGTCCAAGCTACTATTCCATAACAGCAGTGGCCAATAACAGGAAAGAGTGCAGCAAAATGGAAACAGTATAGCACACCTGAACATTCGCACCCGAGTAGAGAGTCGGTATCCTGAAGATCTAGGGGAAAATACTAACATTGCTGAAGGAGCCGGCGGGGGTCCAAATCATAGTTTATAGCATAATTCCATTGCAAAACCCACAAGAATTCAAGTTGACCTGGGTGCAGTGTAAGTGCGGTATCCATCAAAGCATCTCAACACGACAACTTACTTAGCCTCTTCCCAAAGTGCCCTGAAGAAAGCGGAAGAATACTTGGAATCCACAAACTCGTTCAGCTTGATAATCTGCTCGCCGTCGAAATGGAACGTGATCATGAACTCGTTGTTGTAGTCCTTGCCGGATTTCGACTTTCCGTCCGACTTGAGCTGCAAATATCGACAGTCAGCCGTAATCCGCTCGGTGGGACCTAAAACCAACGTGGAATACGACTTTATCGGTGCCATGGATAACGTCCAACGGTGGCCCGTACTGGAGCAAAATCGTCAAACCTTGCGCGATGGATGGCGATCTGAACGGAGAACTCACCGTGACTTTATCGAACAACCCCACCAAGTTGGATTTCAAGATCTCTATGAAGTCCTTCTTCCCTCTCATCTCCTTGCCATCAGGGGGGATGATAGACGCGGGGAGGTATTGGTGCTTGAATTCGGGGGACAATAGCTCTGCCAGAGGAACCCAATTAAGGGCATTCAGGTGGGTCAAGAATGCATGCGCGTTTTCGAGCTGCTTTGCATTGGGGATGGACATGGTGGACAGGAGGAACCTGGAGGGCCGAGGCCGGCGGTCAAGAGGACCTTGATCATCACAGAATCAATCTCAGGCGCCCACAACACGGCAGTTGACATGATCACGGGGACATACAGCGGTAGGAAGCGTGCAGTTGGAAAATCTCAACGAGTCTACTTCAAGCTTGCAACGTGTCTCAGCGCATGGCGGTTCCCGAACTAAGCACGGATCCGCACAATTCACCAAGGGGAAATCATTTCGAACTGATACAAGAGCGCGCCGGGGCGCCGGGGCGCCCCGGCACTTCGACTGAGGTGTCGTGGCGCCAAGCGGTCCACGTCCTGGGGCGCTAATCCGCTGATTGCCTGACGGAGTTTAAAAAGGCTTCGGACACACGCGATTTTATAAAGAGAGAGAAACTGTTTTCTTCCTGAGTGAGGTTTCCGAATTTGTACTAGTGGACACAGAGGAATGGGTGGAAGGAACAAGCACGAGTTACAAGCATTTCAAGACATCATCAGTACCAACCACGTCTGCTAAATCGCCATCCAGATGGGCCATAGCAACTCCGTGCACCGTTTCAGCACTCCAGGCTTTACCCTCCTTGCTGTCGCCTTGGACGGCCCCGCTAAAATCCGGGATACCGGCGGCATACGTCGCGCAAGCATCCCCGACCACAACAACAGAGAAACCGAGGTCGAAACCTGAGCGAGCTGTCGAGCTGACGCAGTGCGCCGATGATTGCCCCACTAGAATCAAGGTTTTGATTCCCTGCGCATCGAGGACATCCTTCAGACCCGTGGCACCGTCAGCGACGAGATGCGCGCCGAACCCCGAGCTCCTGTCGTACTTGCGCAGAACGGGCTCCCCGGCCTCCGGCGCGACGTAATCTTGGGGGAGTACTCCCTCAGGGTGCGTGCTCTCGTTCCAAAGCGATTCGCCTTTGGGATCGAACTTGGCCGTGTCGATGTGGTGGATGTGGATTACAAGCAGTCTCTTCGCACGGAAGGCAGCGAGGAGAGCGATGATGTTGGGCTTCATATTGGGGGTCGATCGCTCCCGTTTCAAGAAGGATGGATCAATGAATGCTACGGGTAAGCGCAGTAAGTGAGCGAAAGGGACTTGAGGCTATTTTGAATTTGAACCTTGCTGCACATCGATCACAATCAGAGCGGTTTGGGGAAGTCCAGAAGCAAGATATGCGGAAGCCATTAGCGGCGACGTCGACGGTGGAGGCGGTTTGTCGTAGATCTTAAAAAGTCGTGCGAGTGTGAGTCAGCAATAAAATGATAGCAATCTGGCAGCATCTGGTGACGCCCTCGCTCTCGGTTCCGACCGCCACACCCGCCAGGACTATATAGTGGCTAAGTAGATTGGAGTTCAAATCCGGAATAACAGAGAGCCGCTCGACAGAGTCGGACGAAACGGAGAAATCGAATGAAGGTGGTGGCCTTGGGCAAAGAAAGGAACGACGTACGCATCAGCCCGACTTCCGATTGGCTCATCAACAGATCAAGTCGGAGCTCGAACTGGCTAATTTCCCAGCAAATATTATTCTGTTTCTATGCAAGGACGTTCGTTCAACTCAGAGACTCAGATAAAATACATATACAGTACATGATATCACATTTCGAACGCCGCAACACTGGGGACTTTTTTGAAAGTCAGAAATAACTTTGCTGGGACATCCGCATGTACGCAGACGCGACGAGGATACCAAGGGAAAATCCAAGCAGGAATTTCGTAGGGCCCACTGCTCCCATCAACCCCCTCCCCGTCTTTTCATTGTCCGTTTTGTAGGCAGTGTTCTGCACTGGGAACGTTTCGGTTGTGAATGGAGCGGTCACTAGGCCGGTGAGTCCGTCGAGGCTTTTCAAGTTGGCTTTGTTCCAGTAGCCTACAAGGCCCTCCGAGGAGCCGTGCGCATCGGCTGAAGCCACGTCGATGCTCTCCTTCTTCGTGGCCCATGCCAGAAGCCGGGTGCGGTGAGCTTTGAAGTCGAAGAATGGAACCGCGTAGCCACAGGACTGGGTTTCGTATAATTTTAGTTATGGTAGATGTAGCTGCGAGGCGCGCAACTTACCGTGCTGACCTTGTGAACGTCGATGAGAATGACCGAGCGAGATCCTGGTTTCCGAGATTCTGCGGGGACGAAGGTATTATATTCAGGAGTCCCATATTCGTAGACAGTGCCTTGCATCCTCGACAATTAACCACGACCTGGCTGACCACAGGAGCAGAAGACTTACCTCGTCCATACAGCCTTGCAATGCGGGGAGGGCCCTCGAATGCGTTGAATAAGACTGTAATGCGTCCGTTCTCCCGCAAGTGGGAAATGGTCTCGACGCCTGAAAGTCCATTCCGCTCAATGAGGTCTCAGGACGCAGTGAATGGGGAACCCACCGCTGCCAGTGAGGTCTTCGTACCACACCTGACGAGGATCAACGATGTGGAACATGCCTGGGGTCTTTATTGAGCTAAGTCCATCGAAATCCGGCAGCTGCCTTCGATACCTTCGCCGCCCTTGGGAGAAAGGTTGATGTGCCCATCACCGGAGAGGGGAGCCGTGGCGACCCAGAAGACTTGCTGCTGGTTCATCCATTTGGCAAGGCTGGGGGATATTTCGTCAAAGAACTGGACCATGATGAACGGGTGGGTGGAGTGAGGGCAGTGAGAGTAAAGTGAGAGCACCTGACACTGACAAAAGTACTTACAGCGGTCGGACCTATCGGCCCGTCAGAAGGTTAATCTCCGAAGATCGCCGAGTTCGCCAAATTTGAATCTTTGTTGAACTCCGGCGCGTGAAATAATACTAGTGCTTACTGGTATAATAACCGCCTGCTATTAATCAGCACAGATGCCCGAGTCGATCTGGGAATCACCCTCCGGCAGCCGAAATGGGCTCGCTTTCGCTTCATTCTTACTCTGGATGGGAATAATCAGCAGAAAATATTGCACTGATACTATGATATAAAGACGTTCGCACTGTCCTTGAATTATACCACTGTTACATGTACATGGCCCGCAGGAAGCCCGAAGTTTAATGAGGTCCAGTTGAAAGTTATGATCGCCGACAATTGAATGCAGATGCGCACCGGGTGTTCACGGGTCTTTTTTCCATAAGTAGTTCGGATCACCCAAGTGTAGATGGATACCAGGATCTAAAAAAGGAGATACTTACAGTGTACCGCGCCATGTTCCGCGCCGCGGCGCAAGAATGACCCAGCCTGGAGTCGATGACGCCGAATCAAGGGCAGACGCACATCGAGAGCTACTAACCTCGTCCCGCTCATTCAGTCGTTGTATGAGTGCACAATTAATTTGCGGAGGGAGAAAAATGGCTGGGACACAGCCGACGAATGACCCAGCCTCAGGGAATATAACCGCGGGCTTCTGCACAGGCTCTTTATACATGGGTTTTGGATGCAGATTCACACCGCGTGCCACAGGTCTCTTTCCTTTAATAGTGAGTAAGTAGTTCGTGGGCGGAGAAAAAAAGAAGTTTCGCGAAGGCCGGAGAATGACCGTCAACCTGCACTCGGAGCCGATTTCCTCCTCGTATGAATGTGTAGATGGCTGGACGAGCACCGTGACAGAGGAGATAAAAAGGATTACTTCCCCAACAGTCAACCAGGTCCCAGCCTGGAGTTGAACCAGGGGCTTCTGCATAACCGAGACTATAAAGCAGCATTGAAAGCAGATGCACACCAAGTGCTACTGGGTCTCCTTCCTCCCATTCGGTCCCTGTATTAGCGTATAAGTAGGTTGGGTACTGTACGTAGAAGCAAAAAAAAAAAAAACTCCCATAACCATTGCAGAATGACCCACCCTGGAGTCGAACTAGGGTCTTCTGCATGTAAGCCAGGGAGCAAATGTGCCAACTGAAGGCAGATGCACACCGCATGCTACTGGGTCACTTTCTCATAGGTCGGGCTCTGTATATGTACGTGCGTAGTTGATTTGATGGCTCTAGGAACAAAAACGCAACTTCATTTTTATAACCCAGCCTGGAGTCGAACCAGGGGTTTCTGCAGAACACTAGCCCCGAAGAACTCGTAATTGAAAACAGACGCACACCGCGCGCTACTGGGTCTATTTCCTCCACTCCAACTCTATATAATTCACCAATAATTTTGAGGAGAATGAGAAAATTGGAAAAAGGACTCTCAGAGTCTGACGATCAAGGAATTGACCTAGCCTGGAGTCGATCCAGGTCTTCTGCATAGCATTCGGAAGAAGTCTGGGAATGAAAGCAGACGCACGCCGCGTGCTACTAGATCTTTTATATCGAATCCTGTGTAAGTGGACAAAGTACTCTGTAATGGATGGATCCCGCGCGGGGAAATTCGGCGAACAGGAAGCATAAGTGCATGAATGGACGTCTCCACCGCAGCAGAGGACAGTAAGGCAGCAGCTTATAACTGAGTCTCGATCCTGTATTATTTCTCAGGTAATTGGTCGAGGGAGGAAAAATTCCTGGCTGCTTTGCCAACAATGAATGACCCAGCCTGGAGTCGAACCAGGGTTTCTGCATACTGAGAAGGACCGCAACAATTGAAAGCAGAGGCACACCGTGTGCCACTGGACCTCCTCCCTCTAATTAGCTCCCTATCCAGGTGCGTGGCTAATGGGTGGATTAGGCGGACCCACGAGGACAAAGCCAGTTGAACTGGCACTGGTAGACTGGAATTGAATGTCTGCACGTACTCCACTGACACGGCGGACAATCAACTGTCATCCGCAGTCCGGAGGGCGACTGTCATCCGACGGCTAGCTGTACTGTCATTTGCATAAAGCCGGCCACTTACCCCTTTAAACAGGTTTCGGGCTGTTCCGTGGCCACGCTGCAGCCTCGTGTTTTGGAGGTTTTTGTCTGAATTTTCTTTGTATGCACATTGACACAATAAATGAGATTGGTTTGTTCAATTTGTCCGAATCTTTCAAACAAAGCCTTAGATAAAATGTTATGTACTATATCGAAATTATCTATGTTAATATATCAGACAGCTCCCCGCCGTCACACCGCTGCACCCCACGCTCGAGGCGGCGATCCTTGCGCCTCCGTTGGCACTCGACAAACCGGGCGCCCTTTACGTCTTTGACATCCCGGCGGATCAACCGAATCATCGCACGCGCCGCGCCCTTGCACGGGCGCAGATACGGATGGCGAAAATCAGGCGCTCCAAGCATCCTTGGAAGCGCCGGGCCCAGTGGGTATGGAAGTGTCGGGGCCAGCAACAGGATTGGTGGGCTTATTGTAATGTTCCGTATGCTGTGAAATTTGGTAAGTACGATCTCGCCAGGGCAATTACTTACCTTTGCCCAGAGGCACTGATCCACCTCCACTTCAAACTCCTGGGGGCATGGATGTTACCTTCGGAATGCCACTTTTGTGGCGTCCAACATACCGAAAATTTGGCTTTCACGCTTGTGGGAGTCGGGCTGGAATTGCGTGCGTTGTCGTGTTTTTATCTCTGGTGTTTGGGCTGGCCGGTGGACGAGCGAGTATCTTTTCTATTTTCTCTTTTCACTGACGCGCTGGCATCTACTGCAGAGTCGCGATGTAGTACATAATTTGTTTTTCCTGCTGTCACCTCGTCGCAGGTATTTGTTTTCCTATACGACGAACTTGGAAGACTATGATATATTAACATAAATAATTTCGATATAGTACATAACATTTTATCTAAGGCTTTGTTCGAAAAATTCGGACAAATTGAACAAACCAATCTCATTTATTGTGTCAATGTGCATACAAAGAAAATTCAGAACAAAAACCTCCAAAACACGAGGCTGCAGCGTGGCCACGGAACAGCCCGAAACCTGTTTAAAGGGGTAAGTGGCCGGCTTTATGTACAGCTAGCCGTCAGATGACAGTCGCCCTCCGGACCGCAGATGACAGTTGATTGTCCGCCGTGTGATACAATCAGACTCACTCGTATGATATATTCTGTTCCTGTGTCAGTTCGAGCCCAAATCGCGCGACAAGGTCAAGAATCTCGAGAATGAACCGCAAGCCAGCAAGTCATGTGAGCGTGTAGCGTGAGAATTTCAATTTAGCCTTGGCCTTTGATCACGCTTGCGTCCTGGTCCATCCAAGTTGAAGTTATCGACGCTACCTTGACGCTACCAGTCCACCACATCTGCCCCGACTCGGGGTCAGCTCGCAGAGTAAAAGGGCTCGATGATTGCAGGAGATGCGTCCCGCGCCGGCCAGAGGTAAGCACATCCTCGGACCTCGAATTCATCTCCGCTGCTGACTTGGATGCGTCCCTTCCAGGCCTAAACTAGTAGCGATGGCACCAGGACCTGGTTGAAATAAACATTGTATTGCTGAAACGAGTTCGAAACGAACGCGGGCCGCGACGGTGGCGTGGCAGTAGAGGCAAGAAACAGCCGAACGAGGAACCGACCGAAGCCTTCAAAAAAATGCCCTTGTTGACCCCGCCTAGTACCTACTGTTGTTCTCCCTCTCGTCCATCATGACGCCCCCACTGTACACCGCCCTCCGCCGCCGCTCGCTGCGTCGCCCAGCGATAATCCTCGCCGTCGTCTTCACCGTCGCGTTCATGGCCTGCTTCATGCGTGACATCGTATTCGACGCACAGCATTCGACGCGCATCGCGTTCAAGTTCGCTGGGGGAAGGTCCGAGGAGACTGTTACGCTGACCGAGTGGGCCACGCCCACGCTCAGGCTGCTCGAGATGCCCATGCCCAAGCCCAAGGCAAAGGACACGCGTTTGAAGGCCGCGCGCGTCGCCTCTCGGACGGCACACCTACCGCGCCGACGGCCTCCTCGAAGTCAACCCCCTCGGCGCGTATCCCATCTTCGAGCTCGTCGGGCGCGCCAGGCCGCGTGGGCCGCGAAGCTCGCCGCAGCCTCCACCTCCCTGCGCGCCGCTGCCGCCAAGTACACCCACCGCTACGCACGCCCGCCTCCGCGCGGCTTCGACAAGCGGTGGGCGTACGCGGCCGCGCACGCCGTGCCACTGCCCGACGGATACGACCAGATCGACCGCGACCTCGCGCACTTCTACGGCGCCGCGCCTGTGGACCTGCGCGCGATCCAGCGCGACTGGGAGGCGCACGCGGACTCGTATACGATTGGGAAGGATGCAATGTACGATGGGATCAGCATGCTGAATTTCACGCTACCGGAGGACGCGGAAGTGCTGCTGGAGCTTGCGGCGGGTGCGTCTCAGATTGTCGACCTGCTGAAGGAGGTGGAGCGCGATATCCCGCCGTTTAGGGCGGTGTTTAGCCCGCATGATAACCCGAATTTGGTTGCTGACGTGCGTGGCGTCGTTTTCCTCAAGTCTCGCACTAACTTCCTCTACTAGTACGAGCTGAAGAAACGGGCGCTGGACGCAGCTGCCGCGGGAAACTGTGCGTCGAGTTACTACTCTCCTTCTCCCAGCGTCCGCCAACTAATACCGGCCCAGACATCGACGTCACCGACCCCACGCCGCAGAAGCACAGCTGGCCCGCGGCCTGTCCGCCCCTTTCGCCCGCGCAGCTCGACGCGCTGCCCCCGTCCTTTGACGCCGCGCGCCCCAACACCGCGCCGCCGTCCGTGCCCGGGTCTGGGTGCGTTTGCTCTTCTCGCTTCTGCCCTCCATTCGTAACTCGTCCGTCCTTCTTAAACCCACCACCACCTTCCCACACCTCCTTCCTTCGTCGTTTTTCCTCGTCCTGCTTGTCCTTTGTTCTTCGCTGGTGCCCATGCCCGTCCCGGAGCCCCTCCATTCCCTCGCTTCTGTCTTGACTGCTCATCCCCGTCCTTCGACATCCCCGTCCTACCCCCATCGCCTCTTCCCGCACACCAGCACTACATCTCATTCCTTCATATTCTCGTCTCTCCTCCTCCCTGCACCCCACTAACTCACCCCCCAGCGCCCCCAAAACCTTTATCCACGCGCACCTCCCCCCAATGGACCCGTGCCTCCACCCCGGCCACCTCACCGCGCACGGGCAGTACCTCCGCACGGCGCGGGGCCGTCTCCATACCGCGCGCTCACCCCGCAGTTCAGCTACAGCGTGACGCCGCTGCATGGCGATATTAGGGCGGCGATGCCTTTGAATTGAGTGGGTTTTCGATTCTGTGCTCCTACCTGTTCCTTCTCGTAGGCGGACGCGTACTACTACTCGTACTCCTCGTACAAGCTGCGCGTCTTCGTTCCCGCTGCGCGTCTTCGTACCCGAGCCCGCGATGCCGTGTACGCGAAACCGCGAAGCCGCTCTGTCTCTCCTTCTCCTCCCCCTCCATCTCATCCCGAATCGTACTAACGCCCCCCAGGTCCCCGACGACCTCCCCAACGAGGGCCGCGCGCCGCCGCTCGGGTACGCGTGAGCGGAGCGCACGGACGAGCGGCTGCAGTGGCGCGGGAGCAACACGGAGATGTGGCACGCGGCGGACGGGCGCTGGCGTGAGGCGCACCGCGGCGCTCGGGGCGGGGCGGGGGACGGCGAATGTTAGTGTTTTGGTGGTGCCCGGCTCCTCAAACGACGTGCGCGACGAGAACCCGAACGACGGAGCTGCGCGTGGCGAGAAGCACGGTGCGAGTGAGGAGAGACACGGCGACGAACGGACGCGGCCGGTGGGCGCCCCGCGCGAGGTGCCGCGCGCGCGGTGGGTGCACGCGCTGCTGGACGTGGCGTTTGCGGGGGCGCCGCTGAATGCGGACGCGGGGCAGAGCGCGCTGCTCGCGGCGTTTGAGTTTCGGG